GGTTGCTTTACTTAAATAGGACTTTGGATAAAAACTCCCTTAAGGAAGCATTAATTTTGCTCAGACTGGAAGTTGAGTGTACTCCAGACCAGTTGAAGAAATGCCAACGTCTGATTATGCGAATCTTGAAGACGCATAAATATAAATCTTAGGGAGAGAGGGGGGAGAGAGAGGTATGTAAGACGCCATTTTTAGGGTGACATTTTGAAAATGAAATGACAGTGTTTCTAGGGACTTTAATGTGCTGATTGCATGTGAGTACAACTCATCACTTGAAATGCCTTAGTTATGATTCGACCGGCGCTATGGTGCAAATGACTCAACTCTGCAGGAATTAGAATTATGGCAATTTTGTTGTGTCCTTCACTTCTGAAGCTATGACGAAAATTTATCGGTATCTAACTTCACCTCCCCTTATTCTCAATTCAACATTAGACCCTGATAACATACTTTTCTTATCAAATCAACTTTGTTTTGGTAAATAGGTTTTTATTCCTGAATGAACTAACCTGAATAAGTAAGCAGTACTTACAATTGAAAAATGGAATACCCTTAAGACAATATTTTGAAATAACGAATATATTTAGTGGATTATCTTATCAAATTAATCAGGCTCATTAATAACATGAACATAAATACCACATGACGTGAACCTTGGACTGCAATTTCCAAAATTACACTGTAACGCATTCACCTTAAACAAAAAATGTCTGGAGACAAGCCGGTGCAAACGTGAAAGTTAGTAACTGGAGGCCTGCGAACGCACTTTGCATCAACTGTTTTCACTGGCACAAAATAGCTTAAAAATGGTGGGACATAGCCTGATTCTCTCTTTGATAAATGGCGCCATCCAAATAATAAGCAAAGGAAGTTTTATTTAACACTTAAGATAACGCTAGTGACAATATGATAAGGGAAAAGAGGATTAACTAAGTGATTCATTGAAACACACGAATGACTTGCACGGGTTTAGCTTGTTATGATTTACATTAATTACAAAACATTAATTGCACTGACCTTTACTGAAGAGCGGATTAAAGGAGGGGATGCTTTATCTACAGGAGGCTTATTTTAAGCCTTAAACCCCATTAATAGCAATTTTGGGGCATAATTTTTAAACTACTCACGCAGTCTTTGTCTTCCCATGGCAGCGTGAGTCATTCGCGTTATTTCAGTGGAAAATTGAATTGAAGGTCGAATTAGTGGTTAGTGCTTTAGAGTCTGCACTTTGCTTACTGAGTCAGCAACTCATGGGAAGGCTTGGGATGTGGTTTTTGTATAATTTCACAGGCAAAAGTTTGAGGAAACGATTTTTATATGGTGTTGCTAGCACGAAAATGGAGTTTCCCAAAAACGCTAAAATCTTTTGCAACATGTTCTTGATAACATTTGCAAATAGATATCGAACTCAAGTAGGTGGAAATATGATTTTTCCGACATGGTATTAAAATTTTGGGCTTGATGTAAGGGAAAAGGAAAAAGGTCTACGATTTTCGATTAATTGGAGAAAATCAGCCGAATTCGAAAATTCTTCAAGTTAAAGTAGGCTTCACAAAGAGCGCAACTTAACTCCATTAAAACAAGAGTTAGAAGTAACTACGATATAGATAATCTATTTAAAAGCCCGTACTTGATTTGCCCGCTTTTGTCCAGAGTTGTTAAGTTTGACAACTAAAAATAGCAACAACGTGTTTTATAAATTCGGTGCAATTAATTCATGTTCCAGCAGGTGAAGGAAAAAGATGTAAACACTACATTTGTGAACAGTAAAACCTCAAAATCTCTCTGGCACTCGTTCATTTTCCTTAGTGAATTGATTCCATTCACCGACGACCTAGCACTATTACTCCACAAATTTGTTTAGTCAAAGGACACCAGTATCAATGTTCATGGGGTGTGCGATAGACTTATCTCCACGTGGAGCACCCTGGGCAACGTATACTCATACGGCAATCAAGTCTATTAACCGTCAGCTGACTTCTCACTTTAAACTACCACGGCCCCACTGTATGTCATGTTCAACTGCTTTCAAAGTACTCACCTCACCTTTTTTCTACCTTTGTGTCTGTCTCTATTACATCTTTGAAACACTCTTCTGTTCCCCCCTCCTCTACTCTCTCGACTTTTTCACTTTGATGTGCCTTCCCCTCTGTGAAGTCCGAAGTAAACTAAAGGCCTAATGATAACTTTCAAAACGCCTGCCATTTGATATAAATAAATAAATATCAATGTTCATAGATTCAATTTTGCGGTTAATTTTCAAGATCATGGGGAAAAATACATAAGGGGAGCTCAAGTACAAATTTCCTCATAAAATCGGTCTCTGTTCAAGATGGCACTAGTTAGAGCTTTCAATAACTCTCTAGCTTAATTGCGTAGCTAGTCTGTGTAGTGCTAGATAATTTAGAAATAATTTTAAAATCAATTGATATCATGAAAGCAAAATAGGTGTCAAACATGTATATATTTCAATCGGAGATGAATTACGCACAAGCTGATACACAGAACCACGTGAACAAACGTATGCACAAGATTGCCAAGTTAGTTTGATGTATACTTGTTTCACCACTTTAAATAGCTTAGAATTTAAGCACGATGAGGTTCGACTTTTAAAAAATCTTATTTGTTTGAACCGATGAGATCTGCAAGTATTAATATAAAACTAGCTTAATTAACCAAGGTACCTTTATAGGAGATAAAATTTAAAGAGATAATCGACTGATAGATTAGAAATTGAACCTTGTACGGCTGTGTCAATTCTACCAATCGAAAAGAGAGTTTCACTCAGTTAGAAATTGTGTCAATCGAGGGTACAAATATGCCCAATGAAATCTCCACATTCAAAATGGCAATATGTTAAAACTCCCCATGGCACTTTGAAACGGAACATATATTATCCTTATAAAAAAGCTTACAATAACCTAGTGTTAAGCAAAACAAAGGCCTGAGCAGAGCAGTCTTACTTAATTATTTTTCGCATTTCATTATATTATACTTTAATTTATAAGCATATGCATTAGCAGCCATTAATATTAGGTTGAATCACTATAACGAACGTTTAATTTAATTAAGTAAATATCATTGAAGTTATATTGAAATATTATATAAATATACCAACTTGGGGTTTCTATCTTTATTTTAGTATTTTTACGATATTAAATTTCGGGTGGATTTAATTTTAAAATGAAATCAATAGAATTAAAAATTAACGAGTGATTTAAGTTTCGATTGGATAACAAGTGGATAGTGTTGTTTGCTCTCTCATTAGAACATCTGTTACGTCTTCTGCATGCAACGAAATCATCCACTAGTTGCGGAAGATAATATGAAACAATCAATGCACTCTTGTCATTATCATAACTGTGATAAATATGCGGAACCATGGGCTATTCATTTCCGCGATAAATGCAAAGGATTCCAATGATTCACCATAGAAATTTATTCTTTCTGCACAAAACAGCTTATAAACTCCTAGTTCCACAATTCCAAGTTCCATTAGGAGTATAATTCAAACCTAACACCAACCACATTATAGTAACGATTAGAGGAAGTCCGAATTGACAACTTTTTGCTGGTTTCCCATGGTGAACCAGATACGACAGAGGAGAGGGGTTTTTCGGAAAATAGTACATTCTCAGGACGAGGTCTAGTTTCCGGAGAAAGATTACATCATAATTTCCTGCTTTACACTATTAAAAATTGTCGTGGATATGTGAACGGACACCATTAACTATATTAAATAATGACTATAGAAATACCATAAATAAATATATGGCATTATGATTATTACTACCACAGTAATAAAACAATAATTTCACATTTAATTACGAAAAGCAGCTGATATGAAAAAACAGAAGAACTGATGAATGGAAAAGGCAACGTCAAGGTGTCAAGGCGTCTTTCTTCATTTGATTTTGTGTACTTAAGTAGTACACCATTGACCGCGTGTCTCGTTCGTCTTCCAAAATTCAAATTTCCGGACTCATTTTTTAGACTGCAGAACCGCTGCTTATTGGCCGCCGGTATTATTTAATTAAGAGGGGTCATTCATGCCGTTTCAACAAATGCCTCCCTACAATGCCTAAGAAGGGACATGCTGCTTTTTGACACTCTACGATGGGCACATTTAGGGGATCAAAGTAGACATTAAAAAATTTTAATTGGTCGAGATTTCTAAGTGTGTACATTCATGGTGAATACCAACAGAAATTAAAACAAAACATATTCTGAGTGAAGTGGGACCGCTTTAAAGGAAAATAATTTTGTATATAATCATATTATATTAAAAAATTGGTCAATTTTGCTCCATTCCCAAGGGAAAATTTTTAAAAAGCTTTAATAGATCATAATTTAAGTGAGTCTGTTTAGGGGTGAAATTTATTTAGAATTAATAACCCCATTAATTAAAATAATGCCTGAAGAAATAGCAAAATGGTAGTGAAATTGAATTTTATGATAGATATTTGTCATACCTCTCTTCCTTATGTAACCTGACGAATAATTAAGGAAGAACCACATGATATAATTCTTAAATTTGAGGATATGTGAGTGTATTTTTGACTGAAATGGAGATAAAAACAAGACAAAGATACGATATTGTTTGAAAGACTCAATGAAATAACAATAAGCATGGGAATATATATTCTTCTGAACTACTCTCTTGAAATGTTGGGCATTTTGGTAATGATATGATACTCAAAATAATTTATGGATAAGATTAAATATGATTCGCTGAAATCGGTCGGAGTCTGGTAGATTCTACACGATGAAGGCTACCAAGAATTCAGTTCATTCACCGATTTCATACTCGATAAGCTGGAAAAAATGAACTTGAGATAGAGAAAGCTTTGTGAAGAAGGGTGTCTAATCTATCCTCACTTGATGCCAATACCAGAGAAATCAGTAATGCTCAGCAATTAAAGACAGCAAAATGTGAGTAAATGGAATCCTCATTGGCAAGGCCAATTGACCTCGGTGTTGAAGAAAAAAATGACCCATACCTAGCATTGCTTCTTTGTTGCAATCATTCTTGGCGATTCCAAATGAAGGTTGGCCTCCAGGATCTAGTCGGTCGATTACGAATTCCCAGTAATGGACGCCTCGGGATAAGCCCGTCGATGCTAGTGCGACACAGTCCTCCATAGACTGACAAGTTACGGACCTGTTGGAGTTGGAAAATTGTAACCCACTTGTAGAGGAGCGCGTACCATCCAAGTGGAACCAGGACTCTGAAAGATAACAAACAAAGCTAGGCATAGATCCTGATGACATTGGAATGGAAGTATTTTCCAAACTGAATATGTCTAGATTAAATGAGATTGTGTAAGAAGTGGAATCGTTATCATTCATTGCTTGAATTATGCAAGTTCGGAAAAATTTAATCTTAATATTAATCTAAGTCTGTACATATAATTGGCCAGTTCCCCCCTTAATCGTCCTATGTTGATGACTGGAGGTAGAACTCTCAGTTCGAACACGTGGTACACGAGACTAGAATGGAAAGAATATTACTCATTTGAATAAGAAAACAAATAAACCCCCTGAAGAATATTATATCCAGCTCAAATTTTCCCACGGGTTGTACAAAGGGAGAAAACAGTTCTTTTACCCACCCGCTGATATACTCACTTAAAAGATGAATAAAAGTCCGCCTTTTGACTAAGAGGCGTAAACTAGTTCTCTACAGTCCTCTACTTTTGACTACCCATCAAAATACTTCCGACATCGGATTTTCCAATACTCAACTGTCCGTGGAAGGACTAAACTCTTGTCTGCCTTTCCATTGCTTAACATTTTAATTCAATTTAAAAGTAGCTCCACCCGAATTTAGTGGTTACTAATTAAAAATAATCGATAGGATTGTTTCTTCACCTAAACAGTTCCTTCCATGATTAATGCTAAATCGATATTAATTAATAACAAGTAGTGTGCTTTGTAAGGTAGCGATCGTAAACTCGAAATAGATAAATATCATACTTTTACTCCCCTTTTGGCGGGGAAATATAATTATAATCCACAACGCACGGCAAGTCCAACAAATTCTAAAGAACAACGAAATTTTGCTTCCGTATGAAAATAAATTAATTCTTTGAAAATCAAATAAAAATTGCAGGATAAGTGCTGCTTAAATTGCAATTTTTTAATACGTGAGTGGATAAAAATTTTCTTCTAATAAATGCATTGCATCAAGTTAATCTCTATCAAATTTGTTTTATCAATATTATTAATGAAAATATGAGTTGTTTGAAAAAGAAGACACGGAGTTATAATATTGAAGATTAAGGTAAATGAAAATTCAGGGCAGTTTTCAGCTTCGATTTTAGATGCTGAATTTGCTGAGATGATATAAATTTTTGACTACAAACCCTAGTACTAGTTATCGATTAATTTTTTAAATGGTATAGGAAGTCTTATAGAGCAACTCACTGTGATCTAATGCGAATTTAAGTTTCAAAACTCAAAATTGACCTCCCACTGCAAAATAATTGATTTCCGAAAATCACCTCTTTACGAAATGAAAAAGTCAATGCATAAAAAGGTATCTCAAACACATTTTTAACATAACGTTGATTGAAACGGCTCATTCTGTTATATTCTAAAGCAGGGGGTGTGCGATAGACTTACCTCCACGTGGTGCACCCTGGGTAACGTATACTCATACGGCAAAAAAGTCTATTAACCGGAATTTGACTTCTCACTTCAAGTTGACATGACACCACTGTATGGTCATATTTGATCACTTCCATAGAACTCATCTTACCACACCTTTTTCTCTATCTCTGCGTCTGTCTCTTTACATCTGTGAAACACTCTTCTATTCCCTCTCACCACTTTTTTTCTCACTTTGATGCTCCTACCCTCTGTGAAGTCCGAAATCAGCTAAAGGGCTAATGATAAATATCAAAACGCCTGCCATTTGAGATAAGTAAATATTCTACAACAGACAAAAAAGCGCAGTTTCAATTTTTTGTAACTTTCGCTTTTGGCGAAGATTAGGAAACTTAGTTGGAGACTGTGATCAAAGAACATGCATTGACTAGTGATGTTGATTGCTCATTAACTTGTTAAGTGTACGTACTCGTCTGAAATATGATTACCTATTAATATAAAGACTCCCTTGTCTGCTTCTAAAACTATTTGAGAAGAGAATGGCTGGGAAGTTACATTAAGTCCTGCCATTCGGAATTTCAGTGAGAATAAAGAGTAAGAGATGATAATATATAAGTTCTCTAAAACCGTATAGCCGAACAGATGATTCTCTAACTTTCACTTCTACTTCCTACGCCCCATTTGAACCTAAACTACTAAACTTTTCCCCTTAATATATGCTTAAAAATTTCGACATTGCAAAATGTTTAAATAATATTTTTTGTTTTTCTGGGGAAGATGCACAAATAATTACCCTTAGGAGGTTATCAAAAGTTATTCATTTACTTCTGTTGATGCAGACAAAGTGATAAGAATCAGAGAGTAATTAAAGAGGGATCACTTAAGTACCTTGAAAGCGAGAGTGAAAAACAATAAAACGTGCTAATCATAGTAAACATCTAATCAAGAAATATTTTGTTGTTGCATTGTAATATTATATTCAATTCGAGGATTTCATTACTACAGGAAGTCACATTTGACTAAGTCGTCACGCAATGAGGAACAAATTAGCTCTGATTACAAAAACATCATTGAGATAGCAGGTGAATAATTTATTCTATCTACTTTGTTTCATTCCTAATAAGAAATTATTAGAACCTAATTATAATGTAGCTTGAAATTATATGCATCGTATCCTTTGGTGAATGGGCATAATTTTAGAAAGACATATTCTGTAGACAGGATATGATATTTTAATTAAATACGGAAACTAAGAATGTTCACTCTTATGACCACAAACTAAACTTTAGCAAGACACTTTAGATTCGATCAATACTTAACTGAAAAGCTGCAAGATTGGATTGACGAAATCGTTAAATTTCACAAAGTAGGAACCAGGGTGATTACATCCACCGTAGCTCAAAACCCAGGAACTCTAGGTTGGTTGGCTGTGGTACACATTTTTAAATCTTAAATAGAAATCAAGATTATTTTATCCTATTTTATTGGAACCTGTAAATGAGCTCAATGAATAAACTATTGTCCACTTTAACGAAGAAATCAGCAGTCCCTGTCACCTTTTAAAAACGTTTCTATTTAATTTTTAGTTGGTTAAAGCTAAGCTTTGAATTAAGGCATCTGAAATAATTTGCACAAATTTTACGAAATGCAAACACTCAGCAAATACAAGACTCACTATCAAGTGAAGAACTTAAAATTATGTCACTAAAACAATTTTTATGTCTTGGGGGAGGGGGAGGGGGGGTGGGAGTGAGGAGGGGGGGGGGTAGTAGGAGGAAGTGCTTTTAACTCTGATCGTGTTTATGAGCTTGAGAAATCAGACGTAATAAAAATGCATTATCTGAAACGGTGAATGGATGCTGCAATTGCCAAAAAAAGAATTTGAGAGAGTGGAGTGGAGTGGAGGAGAGGGGAAAAGGACTTACGAGCTGATGTCTGGATTACTAGTCGATCGCTGTAGGCACTGTAACCGGATTGGTTATGCGCCTTCACTCGAGCACGGTAGGTGGATTTGAAATGGAGACCTTCAATGGTACACATTGTTTCGATGCCTCGGTAGACTTTCTGAAAATCGAAAAATTATTATATGAGAATTAACTCTGAAGAGGTAGAAAACAGATAACTCAAAACATAATCCAATTAATTACATTCGAATGTGAATTATTATGACCTGAACAGAATTCATCTAAATATCTCAACCCCAATTTTGAAATCAGAGACAGCAAATTGCATTAGGTTTTACATAAAATTACCTCCTGCCCCTATTTTCCACCATCTCCTCCCTTGTTACGACCTTGGTTTTGTTACAAGGTTTTGATAGAACAGACGCTTTGTTCACCATCCCATTATATTACATACATATGTTTGAGATGGACCTATAGTGATACCGATCGTGTCTTAAAGTGTGGCTCAACCCCTTTCACCTCAGACAAGATTAAGATATTAGTTCACAGGACTGCGAAACTCTTATTCTATTTTCCTCTTTGTCTACAGTACTCATCTCACATTTTCTCTGCCTTTGTGTCCCTC